GCAAGGACCTCAGCTTGGAACTGAATATTCAAGACCTACCTTTTGCTTCTCTCCATTTCTTCTGGGACAGCCCTGCCCCGGGGACACCCTTGCTTCCATCTGCATGGGCAGGGTGGTATGACGTACTAGGAAAGAAGCCTGGTTGACATTTCCAACTATCTGCCTGCCACACCTTTCAGTCTGTTTTCTGCGTGCTCTGAGTACAGACTGACTCACGGCTCTGGCACCCCAGGGAAGTTTTGTCCTCCTGGTTAAGCATTGGGTGGAGCGAACGATGACGGCAGAGGTTTTCTGCGGTCGGTGCTCAGCCCCTTTTGGGAGGGTAGACAAGTCAGAGTTCCTGGTTGCAAACAACAGAGAACAACTCCAGTTAAGTACAGTCCAAAAGGAATTTTCTGGAAGGATGTTAGGTGGCTCATAGATTCACAGGGTAAGGCTCATCACTGGGGCAGGAACCCAGAAGGCCGGGAGGCAGAACCACCAGGAGGGACGGGTGAGGACAGGTCTGCCAACATCATGGCTAGCACTCCCCCTTGGGGCTGGCTGCTGGGCTCCTGACACTGGAGGAGTGCCATCTCATGGCTCCAGCTTCTCTGTGCCCTTCAACCAGTGTCAAAGGCCTAGGCAGGATGAGACCTGGGTTGAGTGCCAAGCTCACTCTGTAGGGATCTGGGAGAGGAGTCTGGCCCCACTGGGCTTCTGTAGGCAAACCCAGCCTCCCACCCCTCTAGGGATTTGCCCCACCCCCAACCCCTGTTTAGATGCTAAGCAACCAAAAACAACAAATGCCGCACATCTCTCTTCTCACCCCCAATGTGCATTTGCCAAGAGGCAGCCTCAGACCTGCCTCAGCCAAGCACATACCTGGATTGCTGCTTGTTTTTTGCCACTTGTAGAGCTTGCCAAACGTAGTTCAGTCGTGTCAACAGACTCAGTGATTCTAGGTAATTCCTGTAACAGTCTTCTTTCTACAGCTGGAGTAATAGCTAACACTTACTGAACAATATCCAGGCACTTAGCGCTTTATGTCAATGACTTCAGAGGGTCTTGCCCTTGAAGTTATCACCATTTTTCCAAGGAGGAAACTGAGGCCGGATGGTTTAGGAGCTTTCCCAAACTCACGTGTTTAAACGGGAAAAACAGAGATGAATCTAGGCAGTCCTTTGGAGCTTTGCTAGGAAGGGGCCCTGCTGTCTGTGATCCAGTGGTGACAACCAACAAGCAGTAAACACAGGGTTCTGTACATTGTTACAATGAGCACTGGAAAGGGAAAGAACAGGCTAGTAGGAGAAAGAATGACAGGAGACAAAAGATGTCCTGAGAAGGTCTCTGTGAAGTGCTTTTAAGCTGTGACCCTGCTGGCAAGGACTTAGCAGGCAAAGAGGAAGGAGAGGGAGGTAAAAGCAAGTGCCAAGGGCCTGAGGCAGGAAAGAATTAAAAGAGTCTGAGGAATGAAAAAATGTCCAATGCAGCTGGAAGGGAGAGAGCCTCGACCTCTGGGCTGGATCTCTGTACTCTCTTCAGCTCAGAGTGCCTCACCTCCTCTCATCAGCTCACCCCCACCTCCAGGCCACCCACAAATTCTCTGAGTTTGAAACAGCACTATAGAATCCAACCTCTTCTTCCCACCGCCAGGGTGGTCACCCCAGTGTCATGAGTACAACATCCCCTGGCCCCCTGGCCGCCTTCTGCCCTACCCGTGTATCTATTCCACACCAGCACTGAGGTGATCCTGTTAGTATGGAAGCCAGACCACACCCGCCTCAGCTTCTCATTGCACTCAGAGGAGAAGCCCAAGTTTTACGATGGTCTACAAAGCCCTCTGTGGCCGCCTCTAGCTCTTCCCTGTGACTGCTGCCTCCCTCACTGGGCTGCAGCCACACTGGCCCTTTGCTCTTGCTCAAGCACAGCAGGCCAGCTCCTGCCTTCGGGCCTTTGCACGGGCTGTTCCCTCCCTCGGCCCTGAATGTTCTCCGCCATACATCCGTGGGCCTCTCCTCATCCAGTGGGCTTGCCTGGGCATGTTCTCTTAGAGAGGCAGAGGCCAAGAGCAGAAGGAAGGCACAGCCCTCAGCTAGGGCACCTCCGCTAACATCCTGCCGGCAAAACCAGTCGCCCAGAGGCAGAGAGCAGGTGGTGAGGAGGCAGGAGGTGCGCAGGCCTGGGGCCCTGGGCTACTTGACCAAGACCCCTTCCCCTGTACACTGAAACCCACCCGCCTCTGGCAATGCCAGGACCTACCTCCTTCACATGTGTCTCCTTCAGTCACCACTTTGTTTTCACCCAACAAACATTTGCCAAACATTCACAACTGGGGACACAGCGGCACGTCGCGTACATGACAAAGTCCCTGCTCTCTGGGAGCTTACATTTTAGAGGTGGTCACACAGTAAGCAGAGAAACAAAGCACTGAAGTGTGCTCTGGAGTGTGGGAGGTGCTGTGAGGGTGCGAGGAGCCAGGAAAGGCCGTCAGACGGCGCGGGCAGGAAAACCTGTTCATGAAGTGTTTGAGCTGAGACCTAATGAAGCTAGAGAGTGAGCCATGTGGATATGCGGGGAAGAAAGTTCCAGGTCGGGGCACAGCAGGTAAGAAGGCTCTGGGGCAGGGTGTGCTTGGTGTGCTCGTGGAACCGCAGAAGCCCAGGCAGCTGGAGCGGAGCGGGCAGAGCGGGGAGAAGAGAGTGAGATGACGGAGGTGACCAGGGCCAGCCGTGGGGGCGTTGCCGGTCTGGTGGGCATCTGGATTCTACTTCAGGTGTGAGGGGAGCTTCAGAGGGTGGCAAGCAGAGGGGGGAGACCAGCTGACTTTCTTCTAAAAGGCCACCCCATAAGGCAAGCGAGGGACTCTGTTAGTGTTGGGGGGAGCATTGTGTATTTTCCTCGGTTCTTGTCCCGCCGCAACAAAGAATTGAAGGGCAGAGACACAGTAGTGAAACAGAGTATAAGTTTTATTTAAAGTTACTTTAAGAGAAAAAGTGCAGCAGGTGACCTCAGGGAGGAGAGGCACCTTGAAAGATTCAAGTTTTATTGAAAAAAAGTCTACGCACTTAGAAAGTGAGGGGGACCTTGGAAAGAGGAGCACTGAAAAGTTGGGAAAAAGTCAAAGTTGCAGAGAGAAGTGCACACTGAAAGGCTGGGGGTACCTTTTTAAGGGTTTTTCCGGTATGCGACAAAGGGCTAGGCTTGTGGACATGTTAAGTGGTCTCAAGATGTTTATCTTTAATGAGGCAGCAAGTCTCTTCTTATCAGTCTTTCAGGTAGTTCTGCAAAATTAGCTTAACACAAGAAATTTACTGCTCAGGTTCCCTCCCAGGATAGCAGCTTCCTGGTCTGGGAGCACATCCATCAAGACTGCCTGCCCTTCCTCCCAGGTGGGCTGAGTATTGTCTGTTTGCTAAAGGGTAAGTTAAGAATCTTCTTAACTTCTTGGGTTTTTTAAAAGGCCATTTTAGCTGTAAGATGGAATCTCCCTGTCTTTATTGTGCTGTTTATAGCTGGGCCTTTCAGCAGCTAGAGTAAATCTGACAATGGCATGATCTAATTGACACAACGAAGATGTGGGCTGTGCGCAGATACTTTTCCTTTCTGGGGAATATTCAAATATTCAAGGCCAAGTTGCTCCTGACCTTTTGAGGTTTAACTGATGAACTCTAACTCTGAGTCTGTTACTGGTTAACTTTGAATCCTTCTAGTGGGCTTTACTGACCTTATTCTCTTTCCCTCTCCTGCTCATATCTATCTTCCTGCCCAACATTAGGAGGGTGCTGCAGCCAAGGAGAGAGGTGGTGGGAGGATAGGTGCCACGGGAGGTGGTCAGAGTCAGGATATATGTGGAAGGTGGGCCCAACAGGATTTGCTGGTGCACTGGAAAAAAGGGATGCAGGAATAAAAAATGATTGACATTTTAGTTTGAACAAGTGTCAAGTGGAGTTGCTATTTGCTTAGATGGGAGCCCAGCATGGGCTTAATTTTAAACACAAAGAGTCCTGTGGGAGGCAAGGTGTAACTCCAGGGAGAGGAAATCCCAGGGCAAAATACCTCTAAAACCGAAATCAGTCAAAGGGAGAAATAAAGTTTAAAATCTGTTTATTGCTTACAAACTGCAGTCTGGAGCCATCTCTCTTTCCTGCTCCAGCAGAAGCAAACCAGCCCTCCCCCTCACCTCTCAGGTTCAGATAAGCCCTTGGTTGCCCAGGTAATTACCCATTGATATGGAAATGAACTGTTCTCCACCCCTGAGGAACACCTGTTGGTGTGCAGATGCACTAAAGCCAGGTGAGAATTATTACAATTTTACCCACACAAGGGTTTTTAGAACCTGGCAGAGCAACTGGGAGGTGTGGAGGCTTGGGGACCCCCATCTTCCATCATGTGGGGAAAGCAGAGGCTATCAGAATGTCACTGGCCAATCCATGTATCCATTCATTCATTCACTCATTCACTTAGCAAAAATTTACTGAGTACCAAGAATAAGCCAGACACTTTCCTAGGTGCTGAGGAAACAGCAGAGGAAACAGTGTCACCACTCTGATGTACCGCCTTACTTCCTGGTAGGGGAGACAGGCAGTAAATTAAGCTAACACATGTGAAAGATAAGACTGTTTTAGCAAAGGATGCATGTTACAAGGAAACTTCAGAGGGCTGGGAAGGACTGGGGCATCACAGTTGGGCAGAATGGTCACCCAGGAAGCCCAAAGACTGAACCCAGACTCCCCAGGAGGACCCCAGCCTACTTTGACTTCTTTTTGTCCCCCAAAGTGGCTGCCGTGTTATGAGGGGAGGGAAAAGGGGCGGACCTCTAATGACCCTCAGGGCTCTTTGGGAAGGGCTGTGTCCTAGGGGAAGGCTCTCATCAGCGAGGCTGCCTTGGTGGGGATGTCCTGGCTGTCAAGCTCTGGGAACCAGGGAGGTAGAAATGGGAGTCAAGGGGGTGGAGAACCCGGAGAGGGCGTGACTGCATCCCAACGGAGCAAATCTGCCCAGGCCCAGGCAAAATTCTTCTCTGAGAGTGTGGAAAGGCGGCTGCTCCCTTTGTACTGGTTTGAGAGTTTCTGCTATGCAAAGAATTTTCTTTGTGCTTCCTGGAGCTTTATCCTGCCAAGACCGGGGGAGCGGAGCAACAACGCGGCTTTGAAGACGCCTAAACCAAAGGTCCTACCTCGGCTCTGCCACTGCATAAATGGGTGATCTCAGGGCATGTGTCTGCATCCTTTGGGGACAGCAAGCAGTTCATACAGAGCAGTGGTTTAGGCAGACTGGATTTTGAAGACCTGACTCAGATGACCGTACATAAGCTTCAGGGGCAGTTTGTGTCTGCGACAAGTTAAGGAGGCCAGTACAGGAGCCCTGGCAGGCACCAAGAAGAGGGGATGGTTTGTAAGGCTTCTGGAGTTCAAATGCATGTAGCTCTGGGGCAGAGGGATTGGGAAGGTCCTGGGCAATCCTGAGGTTTCTAGTTTGGGTGCTTGAGTGAATGATGAACTACTAGCTGAGTTATAAACCCAGAAGGAGAAACAGATTTGGAGGGAAGGAGAAGAATCAAGTTCAGTTTGAGGCCATAAAGTACAAGAATTCTGGCACGCAGCTGGAAATACGGGGTTTAGGAAAGAATGCTGAGTCAGGAGTGCCCGGGGCCTGGGGGGTTTGTGGCAGAGACGGGCCAGATGATAACTCTGCGTCTTTTCCTTGCTTTCTGGGGACACACTGAGAAATCACTTCCCAGCCTCCCTTACTGTCCCGGGTCCATGTGGCCGAGGTCTGGCCAGCGGAATGTGAATGAGGCCGTGATGCCCCTTCCAGGCCTGGCCCATCCATGTTCAGCCTGCCAACTACCCCCCCTCCACCCCTGCCCCACAGGTGTTGGCAGGCTTTTTCTGTGAAGGGCCAGATCATAGCTATTTTAGGCTTTGTAAGTGATACAATCTCTACTGTGATTAATCAGCTCTGCCAATTGTAGCATGGAAATAGCCATTAGCAAGAATTTCAACGAATGGACCTGACTATGTTCCAATAAAACTTTGTCTACAGAAATGGCCAGGCCCTGCTCTGCACCTTCGGTTCTTCTCCTGGTTGGGATGTCGTATTGTGGTTACCCTGTACCGTTAAGTATCGTGTGTGTGTGTGTGTGTGTGTGTGTGTGTGTGTGTGTGTGTTGGAGGCGGGGAGAGGGAAGGACATGGATCACTTGTTTTTTTACGTCATTTGTTTCCTGACCACAGAATAGCACAGGACCTGGAGAGAAAACCATGAACCTGCTGAAGGTCCCGAAGGTACGGAGGTCCCAGGAGACGGCCTCTGTGGGGAGGGGAGAGCGTGTTCACACGTGAGAGGAAGAGTGAAATGGCCCTCAAGGGGCAGGCGGGCTGCTGTGGCAGGACTCATGGGCTGCTCACCCAGCCTAACCCCTCTCCACAGGTATGCACCTAGACCCTGTCTCCCACCTTCCTGGAGTTAGCTGTGGCCGCGGGTAGTGCCAGGGACTGTTTGTGTCCTGCCCAGTTCATATGCTGAGATCCTTACCCCCAGCATGACGGTGGTCAGTACTCAGGTGGGGCCCAGATGGTGGCATGAGTGCCCTTATAGAAGAGGCCCCCGAGCACTGCCTGCGCTTCTGCCATGGGAGGACACAGTGAGAAGAGCCATCTGTGCACCAGGACACGGGGCTCAGCAGACACGGAATCTGCTGGTGCTTTGATCTTGGCCTTGCCAGCCTCCGGAAATGTGAGAATAAATGTCGGCTCTGTGTGACTGGTATTTTGGTAGAGCAGCCTAGTGGACTGAGAGAGGCAGAGTTCTGGGCAGTGGAAGGTGGGTGTGAGTGAGGCACGTGTCTATCATAAAAACCCATGAAACCTTCCACACTTTTCCATGTCCTCTCCAGGCCACTGGCTGGATGTGGATGCTGATGCCATGGTGGGATCCACGTGTTAAAGAGGGCAGGGCTGATCCCTTGTTGACTGTGGAATGTGGTACCATTTGAATTTTATGCGACGAAAAATGCTTCTATCACGTTAGGCCACTGAAACCTTGGGTTTGCACATCAGAGTGGCTGGTGTCACCTTCACTAAAGTTGAGTTGAAGGCGTGGGAGCAGAGGAGGCAGTCCAGGGAGAGTGGTGGCATGAGGCTGGACCTGGGGCACAAGTGCTCAAAGGGTGGGCAGAGAGGGCAGCAAAGGAGGCTGACAAGGAGGCACAGGGAGGATGAGGGAAGGGACCCCGTTCAGACCCTCTTTTGCGAGTGACCCCTGGGTCAGGTGCCAGGAGCGAGGAGGCACCTGTGCAAGTTCCTTTCCTCATGACCACAAAACCACCTGCTGAATGCAACTCAGAGAGAGAGGCGAGGTGGGTGGGAGCCCGTGAAGGATGTGCGGTCTCCATGCGGGGACTCTGAACGTAGGGGTCTTGCCTTCTGGGGTTGTGGACCCCTCGGAGAAGCAGACAAAAGCTAAGGACACTCTCCCAGAGCAATGTATGGGGCAAGCATGCACTGTTTTATCCCTGGCCTCAGTGCTCTTGTCGACCTCCTAAGGCTGCCCTGAGTCCTGGGAAAGCACCTCTGCTAACCTTGGTTAACTACCTCCCAGCCCTGCAAGGAATCTCAGCTTTGCAAGGAGGGGACCGAGATGCAGGGGAACTAACTAGGAACTACACAGCTGGAAGTGGAGCACCTAGATCTGAGGGCAGGCATGTGTGATTCCCCTCTTGTTCCCTTTGCGTGCCGCCTTGGGGCCTCTTCAGCTGTCCACAGGCTTTGCAGTCACAGGAGATGCCAGGCCGGGGCCCAGGAAAGATTCAGAGAGGAGGAGATGTCCGTTCTTAGCAGGGGGAACAGACTTGGGTAGCCTCACGTGCTGGAGCCAACACAAGCGACATACCCCAAGCTGGGAGAGGGGCAGAGCCTCGCCCAGCACATGCCCAAGAGGGTTGGGCCCAGGCTATTGAACCTGAAGCCACAGGGCAGGCAGTGCTGAGGGGACAGCAGGTGGCTGGAGCAGAGGGCCCTGGGCCCAGGTGTGAGAAGGCATGGCCTCCGGCAGACCCACTGCCAGCTCTCATCTCCCTGAATGGGGAATGGTCTCGGCACCTGGGCTCCCCTGGGCTTTCTGCCCTGCAATTCCGTTACTCAGTGTTTGCTCCTGTCATCCTCACAAGAATGATCGGGGACAGGAATGGACATGATGGAGGTTCCAAAAGTCACCTTAGGCAACCAGAACCATTTCCCCCAAATCTGAGCCCTTCCCCTTTGCCCTGTGTATTCATTTCTAGGGCTGTTGTAATGAAGAACCACAGACTGTGTGGCTTCAAACAGCAACACTTTATCATCTCACTATTCTGGAGGCCGAAGTCCTAGACCGAGGTGTCGGCCAGGCACGCTCCCACTGAATCCTGCCGGCGATCATTCTTCCCTCCCTCTTCCTAGCTCCTAGAAGTTGCCAGCAATCCTTGGCGTCCCTTGGCTTGGAGCCGAATAACTCAGTTTCTGCCTGTCTTTCCACATGGCATTCTCCCTGTGTGCTGCCGAGGGCCCATATTCTCCTCCAGCCCAACAAGGATGTGCTGGTGGCAGGCTGCTCAATGCTCAATTCCATCTCAGGAAGACGGGGAAGGAGGGGGTACTGGTGCCTTCCTTTCAAGTGGAGAAGAGAGGGAGGGAGCCAGAGTGTGCGGCCCTGCTTCCTGACCGCAGGCCCTGGCCAGCGGGGCTCCGCCCTGGGGACGGTGCAGTGGAGCTCGGTGGAGACGGGTGCAGAGCTGGGTTCTGGCAGTCTCTGGGCCACCTCAGGGCCTGGCTCAGCCACTCATTCATTCCTCCCGTGTTCTCCCACCATTCACTCTGCACTTGCCATACCCTGGGGGCTGTGCCGTCAGGGAGAGCAAGCAAAATGAGAAATGCTCTGGTTGGAGACATTCATGGGATGGCAGGCCCGGGGAGCAGCCAGGCTTGGAGAGGTGGGGGGCTGTCGCTAGGGATGACTCTTGAGGGGTGAGTGGGATCCTTCTGGAAGTCAAAGGAACAGACCTGGGAAATCCAGGTGCCCTTCAAGGCTGCAAATCACTCAGCAGGGCTGGAGAACCACCGTGGGTGGCAGGGCCAGCTATGAGGCAGAGGAGGAGGTTGGTAGGGCCAGAGGTGGGGAGGAGCCTTGCATGGCAGGGGGTCTAGACTGAATCCTCTAAGCAATGGGGTGGGATTGTTGAATTTTAAACAGCACAAAGATGTGATGCAGTTTGTGAATTGGGTCATCCTGGCTGTGGTGGGCAAGCTGCTGGCCACTGGGAATGATTTGGGAGCTGCTGGCATGTCGGTGGTCATCAACCCCACAGGAAGATGTGTGATCATCTGGGGAAATGCATAGAGAAGAGAGGAGGCCCAAGGATGTGTCTTCAGGAAAGTTAGTATAGCCAGAGAAGGCAGAGGAGAGGGCTGAGGACAGGTGTCTGGAAGCAAATGGAAAGTGGTATTCAGGGGGCGGGAGGGAGAACATTTAGGGAAGATGGGATTGTCAGCAGCATTGGATGCTGCACCCCAAGAAGTCAAGTGAGCTAAGAAGTGAAGTACCTTCAGGTCTGGCAATAGGGGGACAGTCTGGGGGAGAGCGCAGTGATATGGGTCAAAGCTTTGTCCTTCCTATGCATGGCGGTTATGAAGCTGGGTGGGAGAGGGAAGATCTACCTGGCCAGGCTCTCAGCCGTGTCTCAGGCTGAGCAGGGGCTGCAGCTGCTTGGGGGCTGTTTGCTCTGGGCAGGGGTCTGAGCAGATTGTTTCCTTCCAGTTCTAAGGTGCAATGTGAGAGCAAAGGGCCCCCAGTTACAATAGTGACCACATCTGAAGTGATTGACAATAGACATAGTCATGAACCATCATTGTATCTATTCTATCCCTGTTTTACGACTCCATGCAATTATCTAAAGTATGTTTTACAATCTTGATATTTAAATGATGATAGTGGTAATGATAACAATTTTTTTTTTTGGCTTCTAAGTTCCAGGCACAGTTCTTAAGAGATTTATAGCTCTTAAATGCCTCAAAATATTCCTATGGAGTAAATACTATTATTATCCCATTTTACAGATGAGGAAACTGTGGGGGGGAGAGATAGAGATATTAAAGATGATATTTTAGATGGGAAAGAGAAAATTGTCACCTTTTATATGGAGTCGCTAGATAACACTTGGAGATAGTCTCTTGTGGTAGAGGTCAGAGAAAAGTCTACTTTAATTATACTGGGACCTTTGCCTGGTGAGTCAGTTAATCAGCACTCTGGGGAGCCCATGAGTTCATTAATATTCTTCAACTTTTCCCTTTAGCACAAAGTAAGCACACTATTTTTTTTAAAGCGCACTATTTTAATAACCACAATCCTTTTTTTTTGGGCCAAGGAAATTGCTTGGTCCATTGTTCCCTTTTAAAGACGACTCAACAAAAGAGATTTCTAAAATGGTCGTTCTGCACTTCTCATCACAAAAGGGAAGACACACTTTCTGATCTCACAAGTGGTCATGAGGAGGAGGTGGGAGGGTTGCTGACCGAACAGACAACTGCCCTGATGGGCATCCACCTTGGAAGCATCAATACCCAGCTTAGTGCCCTGGCTTCTCCCCAGGTAGACAGAGGAGGAGGCCCGCATGTGGGTAACATGAACCTGCTGACCAGCTGGCCCAGAGGTGATACTGCCCTGGACAGTGGCTACTGCAAGGCCACACTGGGCAGCACCTAAACACGGTCTCCAGATGGATGGTGACCCATTGCAGGATCCCATTTTTCACCTATTAAACTCCCTGGGGCATGTGGCTGGGGACATCCCATAAGCTGAAGGTTGATGGCCAGTTCCCTGACCTCCCTGAGATGTCCACATCTTAATCCTGGGGCTGCATGGATATGTTAGTTTACATAGTAAAAGCAGCTTTGCAGATTAGATTAAGTGGAAGGCAGAAAATCAGAAAGAAGAGGCCATGCCGCTGGCTTTGAGGATGCAGGAAGGAGACACGAGCCAAGGAAGGCTGGTGGCCTCCAGAAGCTCGAAAAGGCAAGGAACAGATTCTCACTCTACTAGTTTCCTGTAGCTGCTATAACAAATGATCTCCAATGTGGAGGCTTAAAACAACAGAAATTTATTCTCTTCTGGTTCTGAAGACCAGAAGTCCAAAATTAAGCCCCCACTGAAGGTTCTAGGAAATCAAGCCCCCACCGAGGTTGTCGGGAAGAAGCTCTTCTCTGGCGCTTGCAGCTTCTAGGGGCTGTAGACATCCTTTGATTTATGGCCACATGATTCCAGCTCTGTCTCCATGGTCACATTGCCTTCTCCACTCTGTGTCTTCTGATCTGCATGCCTCTCTTCCAAGGACACCCATGATGGCATGTAGGGCCCACCCTGAAACTCCAAGAGGAGTCACCTCCTCTCAGGAACCTTAA